TCAACGGATTCATAATGAAGTAAAGAAAAATCTGGAGGAGGCTAATTCTCGGTACAAATCCAAAGCAGACAAACATAGGCGTGAGAAGATTTTTAATGAGGGGGACTTGGTAATGGTGCATTTACGTAAGCATCGATTTCCATTCGGCACCTACAATAAACTTAAGGACAAGAAAATTGATCTTTTCCATATTCTCCAGAAGATTGGTGATAATGCTTACAAAGTTGATCTTCCAACTAAAATGAACATCTCCAACACCTTCAACGTTGCGGATATCTTTGAGTACTTTCCACCAAGATCTTCCAACTAAAATGAACATCTCCAACACCTTCAACGTTGCGGATATCTTTGAGTACTTTCCACCAAATGAGTTTTCTCTACAATAACGAAACTCGAGGACGAGTTTTCTTCAAGAGGATGAGATTGATGCAACACACGTTTAATAAAAAAAAGTTTTCCATTCTTATTATTAGTTTTCTATTTTCTAGAATTATTTTCTAAGTTTTCTAATTTCATGTTTCCTATTCTAAGTTTCCTAATTTCATTTCATATTCTTAGTATGTTTCCTATTCTTTATATTATGTATTCTATTTAAGGCTTTGAGTTGTATCTAGGAAAAACAATCTGAATAATATTTTGGAAGAAAAGTTATCATTAGTTTTTTATCAATTTAGGTTCTCGATTGTTTCTTTCAAAGACCTATTTCGCTGCACCATCAATATAAAAGAAATAGATATGAAGTATAGGATATACGTCCAAGAAGTGTATTGAGTGTTGTAAATTAAAACATGTATTATAAAATTGTATTATATAATTGAGTATATGCCTGAATAAACGTATGCATATATTCAAGGAGTATCCAAGAAGTTTCAATACGAGTACCAGTATGGCTTCTGATAGAAGTACCCATGTAATATAAGTTCGATGCTATGTAGCACGGACACGGATCCGACACGGCCATCCGACACGTCGACACAAGGCAAATCCTAAAAATACATAGGATACGTGTGTTCGACACGTGTGTCCGACACGGACACGACACGACACGGCTTCATGTTATGCGTGTCCGTGCTTCATAGGTTCGACGAATAAGCAAAGAATGATTGCTAGGATCAAATAACTTATGAGCTTTAGAATAAGTATCAAACCCAATGAAGATAAATTTCTTGTTGTTGTCATCGAGCTTTGCCCTCCTTTTTTGTAGGCCTTGAGTATGCAATTCTTCCAAATACTTCCAAGTATGAAAACATTACCCTCCGGCCACTCCATGCTTCTTGTAGTGTGACATATTCAAGAGATTTGGTGGGGTACCAATTAAGAAGATAAACTGCACAATCCACTACTTCAGCCCATAATTCTTTCAGCAAGTCTTTGCTCTTTGGCATGGTCTTCGCCACGTCGAGAATGGTTTGATTTTTCTTCTCGACTATACCATTTTCCTATGGAGAACATGCAAACGTTAGTTGTCATTGAATGTCATGCTTTTGGCAAAAATCATTAAACTCCCTAGAGTTGCTCCGCCTCGATTAATGCGCAAAGTTTTGATGAAGATGTCCTTTGTTTCTTGATATAGAATTTGAACTTGTTAAAAGTTGTAAAGATCTCTCGTTTTTCCTTCAAGAAATAAACCTAAGCTTTTCTACAATAGTCATCAATAAAAGTAATAAAATATTTTATTTACATCCATATAAAGAAGGAAAGAAAAGGTCCACTAACATCATAATGGACAATTTCCAATGGACTCATCGCATGATATAAAGCTTCTTGTGGAAAAGAGTTTCTTACTTGTTTATCGAAATGAATTGATGATATTCAATTTTTAAGTGGATAAAGATTTTACATGTTTCCTTCCGAGTACCTTAGATTGATCTCCAAATGAAACTTGGCTATGATTCGACCATCCAGTTACACAAACATGTCCAATCATCACATGTAGTTGCCTGCGCTGGTGTCAAGGTACCACGTATCATCTTTTGTGGGCTCTTCTTCATAGGAATAAGACTTGATTTTCTTCACTAACATAGTTAGCATTTTCTTCTACTTGATTATCTTCATTGTACCAACAATCAGAAGGAAATTGATCAACGAGCATTGGGTTTTTCACACACTTGGCCTCAAAAGAAACCTTCTCTTACTCTGCCACTAGTGTGACCTTGATTTTAGATACAAATAGTTCTCATAACTTTCATGTGTCTTAGTTTAAACACAAGATTTGTATTGGTTCACGAATGAAAGTCAAACTTTTAAGTGGAACACATTATTCATGGGTATGTATAAGACGGCTATAAAAGGCCAAGCATGTAATATCCCGAAATTTTATAGTAGCATATCTGTTTAAATATTTTCATTTTTTGTTTTGAAATAGGAAGTTATAAGCCAACTAAGGCATAGAATAGATTGCTCACCTCCCACTGATCAAAGAGGTATAAATTTATTTGATAGTATTTTCAACTATCTAAATAAATTGAAAAATAGATATAATGTATGCGACATATATTTGCAAGGTATAAAGTAATATATTATAAGGAAGTTAGTGAAAAACAATGATAGATGTGGCAAGAGAAGGGTGCCATGAAACGAAATACTTAGGGGGTAAGCATATGACTACGAAAACACATAGCCTAAGGCTAAAATTATAAACAAATACTACATGAAATTAACTAGAAAAGGAAAAGGAGAAAGATAAGGATGACCAAGTGGTTAATTTGGAAGGGGAGTTAAAATGTGAGTGATGGGTGTTGTAGACAACCAACTTAGTGTTGGTGTACATGAGCAGTGGGATCCATATAAGCATAAGAAAAGTTTGATAAATGGGGAAATAGAAAAAAGAGGAACAAAAAGACATGAGCTATTATACATGAGGAGGAGCTAAGTTTAGATAGATAATAAGAAGTGAGAGGAAGTGAAAGGAGCTCTTTAATTTGGACAAAGGCCGAGCTTATCATCCAATACAGACCCAACTCATTTGAGTTTATTCTCCCAAACCACCAAAAATCATCATCTAATGGAGATCAAACTCAATTTATTTTCTCAATAATTGATCATGATGATTGACAAGACACATTGAGGAATTTAAAGGGAACAATACAAGGATGCAAAAACATTGAGGAGTATTACGGAATTCTTGAAGTATTATAGAAGACAGAAGGACAAATATTGTAAGTACTCAACCTTTTCTCGAATTCTAAAGTAATTTAAATAATTCAATAAATTGGTTAATTATCGTGTAAGTATGTGTTGTATCTCAGCGTTCGAATCTGATTTCGACATGATATAACAATCTTAGTAGTCTCCATAACCTAAATAGAATGTTATAACTAATAACTATGTAGTCCATGGTTCGTATATGAATCCAACTATCTCAAGGTGATTAGGTATATTCTTTATTTTCCCATGTCAATGGGATAGACCTAACACTACCAGAAAATAAAGGAAGGTACTCATATGTGAAGTAATTAATTAAATCTAAAATCTTGTTGACTAAATAAATATTCTTGTTTAGATAGTTGCTTTCCAGGTGAAGGTTAACATGTTTAGTGGTTCCTTGATTATTAGGAATACTTGGTATTCTTGCCGGGGTAAATTACGAAACAGTGTTGTTTTGTAAAAGAAAAATATGCAGGTACTTATCCGCAAGAATAGTTCCTACACATAATTAATTAAAGTTCCTAGTGGCATCATAAGAAACACATGAGATGGTCAAGTAGTAGAATTTCCAGAGAGGAATAAGAACAAAAGCAAGAGAACTCTAAGTATTACATGATGTAAATGAGTAGGATTGGGAATCTCGGACTTGCACATTGAACTTGAGAGAATCCAATGCGGACAAGTAGGAGGCAACATCTCCGTTGTTTTCTATCATTCTATTGGCTTTTCGTATGAATCTCCATAACTGAATGCTATTAATTGATATTCATACTTGTTGACTAGTGTCATTGGGAAATTTTCCCTTCAAATGATGATTAATATTTGTCCGGATCATTTGATTAGATCTTATTGTGACTTTGGTGCTCTCATAGTTGTTGTCAATGTATTTTTCTTTCATGCGTTGTTTTGATGAACCAGAGCCCTGTGTGAAGTACCAGTGGGCAAATAATTGAAGATATGCGTGTGATATAGTCCCGTGATCGGGAACAACTAAGAATCCTGTAAATAAAGCATGATTGTCGATTGATTAATACTTTTCAGATTTCAGTTTACCTTACTAGGATTGCAGTTCACATGATAATAACTTAGAAGCTATTTGTTCTAGCCCCTCAGTTCTAATCTAGGATCTCATAGATTTCTCAGTTCATTTCTCTATCTTTCTTTAAAGGAAAGACGGGGAACAAAATCAAAGTGTCAGCAAAATAAATAAATAGGTAAAATTAATTTGATTCTACACCAATAGCACTTCAGCTCAAAGCGCAATCTTACCCCTCACCCTCATATGATCCTTTCCATTTTCCGGTATTACAAGTACAAAATAAAGTATAACCAAAAAGAACTGCATTATAAGAAGATCAAGGTAATTACAAGATTGTACTCATGATCGATTCAACATAGGAAATATTATCCTTATTTGGTATATTATGCACAGATCCAACTTATTTCATAGAAATAATGGGTGGACAATTCAACCCCTATTTAGAAAGTCTTTACCATTTGAAATAGCATCTGAGTACAAAAAAAGACAAGAACATATATGCTTATCTTGTGCATCGAGAGTCCAGAGACAAGCACATGGACAGATATGTAAGAAACTCTGTCTTATTTTATAACGTCCAGCATAGCAGTGTTCAGTTATTCCCATCGATTGTTACTGCTATTCCCTATTCTCATTTATTGTTACCCCCTGAACTGGATATTTGCACGTGGCTATTCTGACAACATGCGTATTCTATGACAGTAAACAAGATGATTTAATTTTGTTAATTAGCCACCTTGATCATTATCTTGCTGACAAAGTCATCTACATCCTAGCAAGAGAAAATAAATGACACTTCACCCATGAAATATACCTGTTTAAGAATAGGAGTAGCACATGTTTCTCTCAAGGTCTCTGCATCAGAGTAGGTTATGCATGGAACCGGTTTCAGCTCGGCATACTGCAAATACATTGTATACAAGAAGTTAATAATAATGGTTTAAACAAACAGAAGAAAAAACAACACTCTTAGTGTTTCAATAGTATGCAATGCGAAGAAAGTTTCAGACAGGAATTCGCCATATTACACTGTTTTAAAAAGCATCCGCCTAGTCTGCCTAGCCCTAGTCGTACGTAGGCCACCTAACTAGCGCCTACGCGGTACCTGGATTACCCACATAGGTTTTGGGAGTGTTTAGGGGAGCATTGTCTGTTTACATGGATTGTACTTTTTAGGCCTTGATCGCGATTTTCTGCGTTGCAGCCTCTACTTCCTCCAACCTCCTTCAAACTCTTTTAACCTCTAAATATGAACATCTCCACTACCTCCTCAGACCTTCAGCAAAACCTCCTCGACCACCACTTAAATGAAGAAAAAAATCCGTCTAGACACCAGTTCGGCACCTAAGCTTTCTATAAAATTAACATTATCAATTATTATAATTAAAAAATTAAAAAAAGAAAACTTCTTGAGCTATAGGTGACGGGTCTAAGCCTCCTAGCGTTTTTTATAACATTATTAATTATTATTTTGGCTATTTAGCATTTAAGTATGCATGGTTTATTGCGAATCTAAGATTACTATCTTTTTTTGTAAATTTATATGAATTTAAAACATATTTTTATCAATTATTATACTTAAATAATTTAAAAAATGGCCAAACGCCTAAGCGCTGGCCTAAGCGCCACCTAGGCGTCTAGGCACTAGGCACTGGCTCAAACGCCTGGTCCGCCTAGCGCCTTCTGTAACATTGTCATATTATAATGGAAATTGATTAATATGTGATCAACTAGCACTTAATATCAAGCTAAAACACATAAAATAAATAATAGAAATAGTATCATTCAGCAGAAATGCATAAACAGAAAAGAAATACCCTAACATCAAATGCCATGTAAAACCAAGACGAAGTTCCTTTCTAGAAATTCTTGCCTAATGTAAAGCAATAGAATGGGTTTGATTCCTTGTCCAAGGGGGAAAAAGTTCAATATCTTGAATACCCATAAACCCACTCTCATTTCTTTTAGCTTGATTATATCATATGCCATGTTTCTTTATTGTGGTATGTAGCATATGCAAGAATAAGCATCAATTGAATTGGCCTGTATGATTATATACCTTCCCCTCCTTTACACATGCACATGATAGTCCAATTCATACCTCTTTGAATAATAAAAATTCTCTTGCTTCCCCATTATTCTCTAGAATGATTTCCTCAGGATATCATGCAGTACTAAGCATATGTGCACAGAAACCATAGCAAGTCTTTTATTAGACTTAGGTTTGAACTGGTACAGAGTTTGAGCAGCTGCAGATTTCCTAAATATATTATTGAAGATAGATGATGCATAAAAGGTACTAATTATAGTTCTTTATCTAACTGTATGCTAAGTTCTGGAAGTTCAACATCTGACAGAGGGTATAATACAGAGTCGTATTTAACTAGAGTCATCAACCTGCAAAACACGTGCAACACAAAGCAACATACTTGATGATTCAGAAAAGTTCAAACAATAGCCTGTAAAATGTTTACCTGCAGGGCCATACCAATGATTGCAAGAGGAAATCCATACGTCAACATCAAAGCAGACCACTCGGATCCGGGGAGAATAGTGAAGTAAGCACCAAACCCATATCTGAAAGAAGAATATCTTTCAATGGTGAACAGGCAAAACTTTGCATTGTATGAAAAGTCATTCTAAAATTACTTACGAAAGAAGTGTACCGCCGACTGCTAATCCAATAACACCAAAAGAGACCTATAATGTAACTATGTAAGAATAAGCAATTTCAAGAGACAGAGAAATTCCAAACAATTAAAACCAAGTGCAGCCAAAATAATAAAGAATCACGAAGGTTAGGTGCAAAAACAAAGTCAGATATTAATATCAAGGATTCAAGATGCACATAACATTTCATGCTACCTTGTTTTTATTAGTACCTAAAGCAGAGAATGAAAAATATGAGCATAAGCTTTTTTATTATGTTTTTGTACATCAGTATATATAGACTTCTTTTATGATACAAAACAGGTAACTAATCTCCCTCATTAAAGGGAAAATAAAAAACTGATTCCTAATATATATTTTCTAGCTAACAAATCTCTCAACTGCCTAAAATAGTACGCAATCAAATATGATACATAATTGCAAATATTCTGGGGATTCTGTCAACACTCCCCCTCAAGCTGGCATGAATATATCACTCATGGCAAGCTTGCTTACTAAGTTCTCATACTGCACCCTAGGAAGTCCTTTGGTGAGTATGTCGGCTACTTGGCTCGTGGTGGGTATGTAGGACATGCATATCACACCACTGTCTATCTTCTCCTTGATGAAATGTTTATCCACCTCTACATGCTTTGTTCTATCATGTAGAACTGGATTGTGAGCGATGGAGATTGCTGCCTTGTTATCACAATAGACTTTAATCGGTGCTGGCATGGAAACCTTCAACTCTTCTAGGAGTCTTTTGATCCATAACACTTCACAAAAACCATGTGCAACAGAGCGATATTCTGCTTCTGCACTACTCCTTGCCACAACACTTTGCTTTTTGCTTCTCCAGGTGACCAAATTCCCTCCTACAAATGTGCAATAACCTGAGGTAGATCTTCTATCAATCACATCTCCTGCCCAATCAGCATCTGTGTAGGCTTCCACTTGTAGATGACCCCTATTTTTGAACAAGAGTCCTTTCCCTGGACTTCCCTTTAGATATCTTAAAATTCTGAACACAGCTTCAAAGTGAGTAGGTCCAGGTGAATGCATAAACTGACTCACTACACTTACAGCGAAAGCTATGTCAGGCCTTGTATGCGCCAAATAGATTAGTCTCCCAACTAATCTTTGATACCGTCCTCGGTCCATCATCTCATTTGTTGTTGCCGCTTTTAGCTTCACATTTGGGTCAATTGGAGTTTCTGCGGCTTTACAACCTGTCATCCCTGTCTCCTTGAGCAAATCAAGAATGTATTTTCGTTGGTTGATAAAGATCCCCTCCCTGGACCTTGCAAATTCCATCCCAAGAAAATACTTAAGCTTTCCCAGGTCTTTGATGTCAAACTCAGCCTCAAGCTTATTCTTCAATTTGTTGATCTCAAGTAGATCATTCCCAGTCATGATAATATCATCTACATATACTATCAAAATGGCTATTTTACCTTCGGTGGAGTGCTTGAAAAACATAGTATGATCAGCCTGACTTTGTGAGAAGCCGTGTCTCCTTACAACATCTCCAAACCGTTCAAACCAAGCTCTAGGTGACTGCTTTAGTCCATATAAAGATTTTCTTAACCTGCAAACATTGCCTCTTCCAAGACTTTCTTCAAATCCGGGTGGCAAGTCCATATAGACTTCTTCTTGTAGATCTCCATTCAAGAAGGCATTTTTTACATCGAACTGATGAAGTGGCCAGTTGCAGTTAACGGCAAGAGAAAGAAGTACTCTGATAGAGTTAATTTTAGCAACAGGAGCAAAAGTCTCTTGGTAGTCTATACCATGAGTTTGGGTAAATCCTTTTGCTACGAGTCTAGCTTTGTATCTCTCCACACTTCCGTCAGCCTTGCACTTCACTGTAAACACCCATTTGCACCCAACTGTCTTCTTGTCCTGGGGTAGATCTGTAATACTCCACGTGTTATTTTTCCTAAGAGCATTCATCTCTTCCATCACTGCTAACCTCCAATTCGGATCATCTAATGCTTCCTGAATAGTTCTTGGCACAGACAGATTAGAAATTCTAGACACAAATGCTCTATGAGTATTTGATAATTTTTCATACGACAAGTATTTTGCAATGGGGTGTTTAGTGCAAGCTCGGGTACCTTTTCTTAACGCGATTGGAAGGTCAACATCAGAAGGTAAATTAAGGGATAGAGAAGGAGTAGGAGGAAGATTACTCTGAGTTGTAGGATCATCACTCGGAAAATCGGATTGAGCATCTGCTGCGGGAACAACTGGGGCATTAGTACGTTTGTGAAACTTTTTCCTGGTATAAACCTGAAGCTCAGGATGAGGATTATGATCCGTTGGAGGTACTTCTCCCCCTGTCTCTGATAAAGTAATATTTGGCAAATTTTGATTAAGGGTGCTATCACTAGGTTCCACTCTATCAACAATTGATTCCAAAAATTGTTTATCAGAATTAACCAATGGGATATTTTCCTCTAGAATAGGTAAAGTTTCCCAAAAATTATCTTCCTCGCTTATTTTCTCCCCCTGAAGAGAATTTTTCAGAAAGAAAGGTTGGTCCTCAACAAAGTGTACATCCATACTCTCAAAAAATTTTTTTGTGACTGGATTAAAGCATTTGTATCCTTTTTTATTGGATGCATAACCAAGGAACACACATTTCTCAGCTTTTGGGTCCAGTTTTGATCGAAAAACACTTGGTATATACACATAGCAAACACAACCAAACACTTTTAAAGGAAGATCCACAGTTATTCGAGATGTGGGAAAACACTTTTTCAAAAAATGTAAAGGTGTTTCAAATTTTAAAACTCGAGATGGCATTCTATTTATTAAGTAACAAGCAGTCAGGAGAGCATTTCCCCAAAGATATTTAGGTACATTCATAGAGAACATTATGGCTCTAGCTACCTCAAGAAGGTGTCTATTTTTTCTTTCAGCGATGCCATTTTGTTGTGGTGTGTCACGACAAGTTGATTGATGGATAACACCTTTTTCGGTAAGAAATGTTCCTAAATATTTGTTAAAGTATTCAGTCCCATTGTCTGATCTTAGAATACCAATTTTGGTTTGAAATTGATTCTCAATCATTAGGAAAAATTCTTTAAATCTCTGTTGAACCTCTGATTTCTTTTCCAACAAATAAACCCAACATACCCTTGTGTGATCATCAATAAAAGTCACAAACCATTTTTTGTCAGAGAGTGTGTTAACCTTAGATGGCCCCCAAACATCACTATGAAACAAATAAAATGGTTTCGAAGCAAAATAAGGTCTTATTGGGAATGAAACACGATGATCTTTAGCCAAGTGACAAGCCTCACACTGAAATTTTGAACAATCAATTCCTTTAAACAATTTAGGGAACAAATGTTTGAGATATGGAAAACTAGGATGCCCTAATCTTCTATGCCATAACATAACTTGATCATAGACAGGGTTTAAACTAGTACTACTTAAACCATGAGCCTTTTTATTACCGAAAGCAGTTTCATCAAAGTAGTAAAGCCCATTTGTCTCTCTAGCAGTTCCAATCATCTTCCCCGAGTTCTGATCCTGAAAAACACAAGTGGAAGAACGAAAAAGAATGGAGCAGTTAGCATCTTTAGAGAGTTTGCTGACAGAAAGAAGATTGCAGGCAAGTTTTGGAACATGTAAAACAGACTTTAAGGTGATTTTTTCTGATATTTTAATGTTTCCTTTGCCCGCAATGGATGAAAAACTACCATCAGCTATTCTAACTTTTTCGAAACCAGAACAAGGATAATAGGAACTAAACAAATGAGAGCAACTTGTCATATGATCAGAGGCTCCTGAATCTATGATCCAAGGACCTTGTTTTCCAAGAACCAAGAGTGCCAAAGAATTGCTACCTGTTTGCGCCATGGAACCGACAGGAGTATTAGGTGATGAATAGGATTTTAGAAGTTTAAGAAGATGATCTAATTGCTCTTTATTGAATGGGGATGACTCGGCCTCATTTACTGTAGCCATATTCTGTTCACCAGGTTTGTTAGCTCTGCCATTGGATGGTCTTCCATGCAGCTTGTAGCAATTATCTCGGGTATGGCGTGTTTTCCCACAGTAGTCACAGCGCAGGTTATTTTTGTCTCCAACCCGCTGATTCTGGGATGATTTTCGGCTGACTTGGGCCTCGGGAATGGCTAAGGCTGATCCTTCCACATTTCCGGTTGCACCTGTAGCCTTCTTTCCAAGCATCACTTGTCTTCGGCTTTCTTCCCTTCGTACTTCTGCAAATACCTCTCCGATTGGTGGCAGAGGGTTTCTTCCAATAATCCGGCCACGAACCTCATCAAATTCAACGTTCAATCCTGCAAGAAACTTGAAGATTCGGCTGACATCCACCATCTTCTTGTAATGATTGCAGTCCTCGGGTGACTTCCACTCGTAATCGTTGAATAAGTCCAGGTCCTGCCAAATCCTCTTAAGAGAATTAAAATACTTTGTCACAGAGTCCTCACCTTGGCGAATTTCCCCAAGTCGAAGGGTTAATTCATACACTTGGGATTGATTTCCTAAATCAGAGTACATCTGTGAGACATTGTCCCATAATTCCTTGGCTGTAGAATAACAGAGATAATTTGTCCCTATCTCTTCAGCCATGGAGTTTACCAACCACGTCATTACCATGGAGTTTTCAGCATCCCAAACGGCGTAGGCTGGATCCTTCACGTCAGGCCTCTTCAAGTCTCCTGTAATATAGCCAATTTTCCCTCTCCCTCTGAGATACATGCGAACAGATTGTGACCACCGGTGGAAGTTGTCACCATTTAGTCGGATTGTAGTAATCTGAATAGGCTGAGGAGGCTGAGAGTTGGACGTGACTTCGGACATTTTTTTTTTTTTTTTTTTTTTTTTTGAAACAGGAAGGCAGAATCAAAACCCTAGCTCTGATACCATAAAGCAGAGAATGAAAAATATGAGCATAAGCTTTTTTATTATGTTTTTGTACATCAGTATATATAGACTTCTTTTATGATACAAAACAGGTAACTAATCTCCCTCATTAAAGGGAAAATAAAAAACTGATTCCTAATATATATTTTCTAGCTAACAAATCTCTCAACTGCCTAAAATAGTACGCAATCAAATATGATACATAATTGCAAATATTCTGGGGATTCTGTCAACAGTACCTAATGACTAGCAATTGTTTTTATTAGTGCCTAATGACTGTCAACAAGTTCCTCCAAATTAGATGACAAACAATCAGCTTAAACAATTTCGACAGGCTTATAGTGAGTCAATACATACAATAATAATTCTCAGGAACTTCTCTTCCAAGAAAGTCAACTATAGCTAGAGGCTAGCATGTTTCTCAGTGGTGTTAGATTGATAAAATTACTTTGTCTTCAGAAAAAAAAATTCCTGCTAAAGGAGATACATTTCTTTTAACAGTAAAAAAGGCTGGCAGTTTTAGGTTTAGTGCAAAAAGAGTGTAAATTAAAACTTCAAAGATATAACTAAATTATTATAGGATTAGAACAGGTTACTAACATAGGATGGATAAAACTGGAGAACTGACAATGGATGTCATTTGTGGTCAAGTGATAACAATACACGAGTTGGTTTACCTATGATCACACAGTTCATTTAAGATAAGGTTATAGCAAGTAGTGGAAGAGATATACAAATCTAGTTTCACACTCATACGTGTGGCCAAGAAAACCATCCTCTTTTTGAACTTCAGTAGAAAGTTCATAGCTAGATTACCCAAGGAAGCTTGCAAAAATCAAATATTAGCCATGTCGAAACAAATGTGTCATGTTTGATAGCTGAGAATGCCAACCTTTGACCATGGACACATAATTTAGAAAGAACCCAATTAATCAATCAAGGTACTCAGAGCAAAACAAAATATAACTCACACTATAAAACACACTTCAAACTCTTAACAGAAATTGCATGAAGCATGTACTAATCGATATGTAACGATCTTGCAACCACGTGTAAGCTCTGCAGCAAACCTTCCGTTGGAAACTAAAGTTAAAAATTTTCCCTTTCTCAGATAATAGGTCGGTGGCTCTAAACCACTGTCATCAATCAAGAATGTAGATTCAGGTGAACGGAACTTAAATAGCTAAGGAACTTGCTCATCTAAAATTGAGGTTGTGCATAAAAGCACGTGGAAGAATAGAAAGAAAAGGTTATATATTAGACCCTAAACTCTTTCTTAAGTTTATATTAGACCCCCCAAATCTTAATTTTTAATCTATTGACTTAGTGTAAAGGGCCTAATATAAACTTAAGAAAGAATTTAGGATCTAATATGGAGAGAGAAAAAAAGAAGCAAGAAAGAGTAGATATATCAACAGACAAAGGGCTCCTAGGTCTCAGACATATAGCATGAACACATCTATCATGAACGAGCACTCGTGTTGCAGCCAACACCCATAGCGAACATCCACACTCCCTCTAACACATCTCAAGCTTGTCCTTGATTATAGTCATACAAATCTCAGTTTAAGGTACTTGTTGGACACTTTTTTTACACAAGCCAACACTTGTCATACACTTATGTTTTGATTAGATAGCATCCTCGTAATAAATAAATAAATAAACAAAAGCAACATTCACCAAAACTAATCAATTAACCAAAACTACGCAATCTTGACATGCTGAAACGAAATCTTCCAAGGTTTATACAAAAGTAAGATTAATCTTTTTCAAATAAAATTTCAAAGAGAAAAAAAGAAAAACCTCTTTTCTACAGTGAAGTACTGATCATAGGAATATGGTAATATCTTAAGAAATTAAACCCAAAAAAGGGCACCTTTGCCAACGAGAAGTCGTTATCGGGGACGACGGTCTTCGATGAGGACGCGGCGACGGGCGGGGCGTGCTGCGTCGAATCAGCGGCGCGGGCGGTGGACGAGAGCCTCGATAGGTGCGGGACTCTTCTCAGCAGGGTTTTTGCGGAGCGGTTACCGCCCAGTGAGTGTAACCGCCGGAAGATCGCTGGTTGCGGGTAGAGGAACACCGAGCTCGCAGCGCTTGCTGCTTCCATCAACATATTTCTCAACCTCCCCCCCTTCTTGTTCCCGTTTTTATTTCTCCTCTTTTTCTTTTTCTCGTATTTTGTTCGTGGGTTCTGCGTTTCTTGTTCACTCTTTGTGGATAAGCGTTGTTTGGATGCCAAATTTAGAGCCGCCAGAATATTGGGGGTTTAATGACGTGTATTTCCGTATGAAGCCTATTGAAATTGAATGGTGCAACGAAGCCTCTATCCTTTTTCCTACTTTGTTCTTACTGACGATGGACCAATTTTGAAAATAGACACTTTTAAGTATTTATTTATAATTTTTGACACACTCCTAACTTAATTAGCATTTTCAGTTTAGTTTCATGAAATTAGGTTGAAATTGGTGAATAAAACTTCACATGATTGGCAATCCAGTGAAGTTTAAACATAGAAAACATTAAGGGATTGGTAATCTCGTGAGGGGCAATCCCGTGAAGTGTTAATTAGCAATTTTAACCTAGTTTCATGTAACTAGGTCAAAATTACTAATTAAGTTAGGACTGGATCGAAAATTGTAAATAAATGTTTAAAATGGTCGATGTTAAAAGTTTGTCCTACCAACAACATCTGACCAAGCAAAAAGTTTCAAATTTAAATGTTGTCAAAATAATCGTTGGAAACTAAATACTAGGATCCCATGTCTAAGATTAATGTGAATAAAGAATAATAAAAATGTTAAATAACAACATAACAATTAACCACAATGGAAAATCACTATATAACATGGTAAGGTCACAACCCGAGTCTGTTATAATCTTCCATAGGACTTTAAAGATGTGAAAAATCAACCAAAAAGTCAAATCATTGGTGACATCTCTTCTAGCGTAATAACTAGATTCCAAAATAGGAATCATTGCACTTTTATTTTATTTTTATCTCATATTGAGCTTAATAATATTTCTGAAGCTCTTATTAATGATTCTTGGTTTTTGGTCATGCAAAATGAGTTAGGTAATTTTAAAAGGAACGGTGTTTGGTCTTGTGGAAAGACAAAAAAATTATTCTGTTATAGGTACCAAATGGGCGTACACGAATAAACTTGATGAAGCTGGCATTGTTACAAGAAATATGGCAAGGCATATAGCTTAGAGATACAATCAAGAAAAATGCATTGACTTTTATGAAAATTTTGCACATGTTGCCAGATTGCAAGCTATTGGGAAGCTTCTAGCCTTTACATGCTATAGAAACTTCGAGCTCTTCCAAATAAATGCGAAAAGTACTTTCTTGAATGGCTTTCTGAATGAGGAAGTTTATGTCGCACAACCACCCGGCTTTAAATTTGATGAATTTCCAAATCATATATGTAAGTTACACAAGGCTTTATTCGGTTTGAAACAAGCACCAAGCATGATATGAAAGACTATCTCAGTCTCAGTTAAATTATGGCTTCACTAAAGGCAAAATTAATACAATTTTATTTGTGAAACATAATAAATATGATATTCTTATTGCTCATATCTATATTGATGATACATTTGGTGCTGCTGATGGGTCTTTTTGCAAGCGTTTTTCGAAGCTTATATAGAAGAAGTTTGAGATAAGCATGATGGGGGAACTCAATTTGCATTCCTAGACTCCAAACCAAGCAAGGCAAGGATGGCATATTCCTCAGTTAGGAGAAGTATGCTAAGGAAGTGGTCAAGAAGTTTCACATGAAAAGTTTTACAACTCTCAGCACTCCCATAAGCACTATAACTAAGCTTGAGAAGGATGAACATAGGAAGAGTGTTTATTAAAAGCTGTATAGAGGTATAATTGGCAGTTTACTTTATTTTACAACTAGTAGACTTGATATAATGTTTAGCATATGCTTATGCGCTAGATTTCAATTTGATGTGAAGAATCACATTTGCATACTATTAGATATGTTAAGGGAACTTATGACGTTGAACTATAGTATCCAAAATCTGAATCATTTGACCTTATGGGATATAGTGATGTAGATTTTGTAGGTAGTAGGATGGATAAAAAAAAGTACGAGTGAACTTGTCAGATTCTTGGACATTCCTTAGTCTAATAGTTCGGTAAGAAGCAAAAATTGTGTTGTTCTATCCACCAATGAGGCTAAATACATTGCGGATGATCTGTGTTACGCTCAGATTCAATGGATGAAGAAAACCTTATATGATTATCATGTATATTTCATTATATAGCAATCATGTGAGATAACCATTAATCTATCTAAAAATATTGTTTTATATTCTAGGACAAAACAGACTGATGTCAAGCATCACTTTCTTAAAAGTTTAAAAGTAATTATATTTGCCTAGAATATGTTGATACAAAACACCAATTGGCTGATAATTTTATAAAACGATTGCTTGAAAAATAATTTTGTTCTGTTAGGTTATCTCTTGGCATTTGTAAGAATGATCGTTTAATTTGTTTATGTTTGGAAGCAATTTGTCAATTCATAAGTAACCATCTTGATCTTTTAGTAGAAGTTTGTATTGAATGACACTTCTTGAGTTATCTGACTCAGTTATCCACATGAGTCTTCTTATGAATGTTTAAAAATTGATAAATAGTCTAAACAAACTAAACTACATATCAACGGAGATATAGTATGATAGAAATATCTAGACGTGTAAAAATCATAAGCCACATGTCTCCTAAAAAGTCTAGGTGTCACTAAAAAATAGGACTGAAAATCGATTTCTGTCATCCCCGGTGAGGCACCTGCATCGCTCAATCAAATGTCTGATGTTAAATTAGACATCTGCTATCAAACGATCAGACATCTAAATTTGGTTTAAATTGTTAGACCCTAGAGCGGGGTGATTAGGGTCTTATGCTAATCTAATCCGATTTTATGCTAATTAAAATTAATTAACAAATTATTCTTGCAAGATGATATCCAATTACTTATGAGCAAGAATATGCAATATACACAAGGTGATATATCCTAGCAAAGAGATATACTATATGATATATGCAGGGATATGCAAACACAAGGGTAACATAAACAAATGTAAACAATGTAGTGGACAAGCTAGATAATGAGATAAAGGCGATATGAGCAATGAGCACAAATATAAATGAACGCCAAAGCACACTCAAACACAATCAAATGATCACGGAGTTCAGACATTCCGTCATACGTCTCCGCTCCCCACTCCCGGGGAGAAATCCACTATCACAACCGGGTTTTTTACGTTCACCCGAATAACGTTTACACCACACAATACGGTTTTCTAGTTTACCGAAAACTCTACAACTAACACACTCTTGTAATCCCTCTCTACACCCTCTCAAGTGTTGAACTAGACGTGTCTCCCTCAAGTGCTCGGATATAACCTCTCCCTAGGTTCGTCAACCGACGCCACTCCTCTTGGGACGATCCCCGACTCTCGCCACACACTTCTCTCGGTGTACAAGTGTATTACAAAGTGAATTTCACATTAAGCACATTTACAATAAATGATTGTTCTCTAATATGGATGAGAACACAATGAAAGCTCACACCCAATTGTTACAACTCTCACCAACCCAAATATACAATGTATGCAAATACAATAAGCTCAAGTGGGTGTGTGTAAACAATGAGTGAAATCAAATCAAATCAAACTAAACTCAAATATAAATACTAGCTTAATAGAATGATAATCAAACAATACAAAATATAAAGCTAGATAGAGTTTAGAAAACTTCTCCAATAAATGACAAGAGAGAGAGAGAGAGAGATGGATTGAAGCTCAAATATCAATGAATTGATCTCCACTTCCTCTTGTGGAATTCTTCACAAACCAAACCCTTAAACAAACTTAAAACCAAACTTAAACTCTTTTTAAAACTTGTTTAAAAACTTTTCTTAGTACACAGATAGAAGGGGTTTGAGGGTTTATATAGGAAGAGGAAACAACAGCAAAAACCCCAAACCAAATCTCACAAAATCCTAGAAATCAGATTTTTGATTCTGTACAAAAAGAGCCGTTGGGCATACGGCGGTCGACCGTGGGAAAATCGCGGTCGACCGCGAAGATCATTGAAACTGAGAAAACAAACAGAACAGGCTACGGTCGACCGCGGCGGTCGACCATGAGAACTTACAGACTGACGGTCGACCGTCATGGTCGACCGTGAAAGTTTCTGCTGACTTCTCAAGAAAAAACATGGCCGTGGCGATCAACCGTGAACTGATATATGAAATTTCAGGTTTTGAAAACAGTTTGCTGATTTTAAAACACTGTTTAAAAATATCAAATAAATTCCAAAAAATATAAAATGGAAAATGATTGTAGACATGATAATACACATGTTACAAAAACTGGTTTTCTAAAAGGACTTCCCAAATGAGAAATATCATCATTTTGTAAAATAGTCCAAAACACGAAAATGTAAACATATGAATTTTGACATTTAGGCTAAACCATGTTTTGAAACTTTGCACAATAATTGTGTAGACTTAATAAAATATGTATATGATTATTATTAAGTCTAAAAACTAAGAATACAATATTTTTACAAATACAATAGAAACATATGAGTATGTATATAAAAATATATTTGTTTCATATCTAAGTAGTTAAACCAAATCACAATAATAAATATGAAATATGTAATTTCATATTTATAAACATAAAAACCAAAACTTGTGTTGTATATATATATATATATATATATGACTACATATATATACAAGGAAACCAATAAAATGTGTGTGTATATGATATTGAGCTTAGAGTATCTAACACACATAATATAAAACCTAAACTAGATTACCCAAGCCGACATTGATCTTCAATAAGCTTGACTTGGTACACTATGCTGATGAAGTTGAACTTGGATCTTGAACTTGAATTGCATAAGCTTCACTCCACAATTCCGCCAACCTCCATTTGATATCGTCATTGAAGCGCTATTTCATCCATCCTCCAACTTGTTGTTTGCCTAGAATAAATACAAAACACAAACATTAGACAAACAACATTAGATGTAAATTGTTTGTAAATCATCATCAAAACAAGAAGGCCAACATAAACATCTAATATTGCACAACCAAATAGCTGATCCGTCACTGATCCTACATGATTGATCTGCTACAACTTTGTTTCATTGTTGTTTCACCTCTAGTCTCTTCGTAACTTCTTGGAA